GAATCAGATATGCCACACCAGCATCTTCTGCACTTAAAGTCCAGACTCCTTTCACGTGGGTTCTGGTCTCCAGGATGGAGGTCTGGCCGCTGCCAGTGTTGCTGCTTTCAGTGACCCCTACCACTCACAGCGAGCCCAGCTTGCTGTGCTCCAGCCTCATTGGCCTTTTTGCTGCACCTCAGATACAAGCTCTTGCAACAAGACGAAGGACAACCTACCTTGGTAGTCTCTAAGATTCATATTTTCTCCTTTAAGGGAAGTCAGCCTGCAAGACCACTTTGGGGGCCCGTGCATTTGCTTTTTCTGCTCTCTGGAATGCTTTACTGACACATTTTGCTTTCCTGGATCTTACATCTCTTTCAGACCTCAGCTTAATTGTCACTTCCTCAGAGAACTTCCCTGCCCACTCAATCTACTCAGGCTTTTTCCTGTAATTATCTCCTCCACTTACTCTTTTTCCTCACTGGCACTTATCAACACTCTAATTATACATGTATTTGTTTAATGTCTGTCTCTTCTACCTGACCCTGAATTACCTGAGGATGGGATGTGTCAGTTTTGTTTACTGTGATGTCCCTCGTCCCTAGCTAACAGAACCTAGAACACCAAGGAGGCTCAGTAAATATTGGTTGGAATGCAAAATTGGAATGAGGCTCAGAGAGGCTAGATAACTTGTCCAAAGTCGCACAAAGCTGGGGATTTAAAAATACACCCTAAAACCTTGTATAAGCATCAAAGCTGGAGATTTAGAAATACACCCTAAAACCTATGTATTTTCCATATGAATTGGTTTTTCCAAACTGTGTATCTTGAACACTAGTGTCCTGAGGAACCTTAATACTGTGTCAAGAATAAAAAGGGATCTGTGTTCAAATAATTTGTAGATATGATGCTCCCCTCCCTGTGTCCATGTGCTCTCATTGTTCAACACCTGCCCATGGGTGATAACACACTGGGGTCTGTTGGGGGGGAATAGGGGAGGGACATCGGGGGATAGGGAGGTTGGGGAGGGATAACAAGGGGAGAAATGCCAGATATAGGTGATGGTGGGATGGAGGCAGCAAACCACATTGCCATGTAGGTACCTATGCAACAATCCTGCATGTTCTGCACATGTACCCCAGAACCTAAAGTGCAATTATATATATATATATATAAAGAAATACATTTCCTAAGGCTATAGCTACCATAGGGAGTGATGCCTCTGATGGATCTGGGCAACGTTTCCCAGTTTATATAATACTGAGAAGCCAATACATTTGTGTGACTTGCTTTATTGTGACACTCTCTTCACTATGATGGTCTGGAACCAAACGTGCAATATTTCCAAGATGCTCCTGTGAAAAAAAAAATATAAAAAAAATAAATTGTGGATATGATGCAACTGTTTGAAGAAAATGGAACATATTTCTTTTCTGCAGTATATCCCAGGGACTTTAATATGCAAATGTGCATTGTGACTCTCCAAGAAACTAATATGCTATGCAGCATTTCCCACCAGTGTTTGGCCATGATTTACTTTTTTTGCATGTAAATAATATCTTGTGGGACCACAGTATTCAGCAGAAGCCAGGGTGAGAGTCCCTCAACGACACCCTGCTTATCCCCAGGAAGTAGGGAAATAGAAGTTAGCCAATTATCTATTAGCCAATTAGATTTAAATATTCTAGTATCTTTTCAAAGTTTTATGCTTTTTTCCCTCTTCTTCAACTATGAATATGGGCCAGGGAGGGGGTAATGTCTTAGGAAATCAAGGTTAGAATGCTGAAGTTAAAGAAAGTTAAACAGAATGTAATGTATGTTATTATGGAGAAGATATGAGAAGCATATATATATATATATTTATATTTTTTTTTTTTTGAGACGGAGTTTCGCTCTTGTTACCCAGGCTGGAGTGCAATGGCGCGATCTCGGCTCACCACAACCTCCGCCTCCTGGGTTCAGGCAATTTTCCTGCCTCAGCCTCCTGAGTAGCTGGGATTATAGGCATGCGCCACCTCGCCCAGCTGATTTTTTGTATTTTTAGTAGAGACGGGGTTTCACCGTGTTGACCAGGATGGTCTCGATCTCTTGACCTCGTGATCCACCCGCCTCGGCCTCCCAAAGTGCTGGGATTACAGGCTTGAGCCACCGCGCCCGGCCAAGCATATATTTTTTAAAGCAACAGAGTAGAAAATACAAACTAAATAAAGTTAAATGGTTAATAACTTAAAACTGCAGGCATTTTTTCCACTTCAGTATGCATTAAAAATGACTGAGAATGGTCTTAAATGCGAACATCCCTTAATGGAGAAAGTATGAAATTACAAAATAACCAATGTAATCACACCTTAATCTTGTTAAATTGAAACACTGTAATCTACATTCAAATTTCACATATGGTCAATCTTGCAAGAGCTGGGTGGATGAGCCAATGTACTATTCGGAATTTTAAATAGAGAGTTGTTCATACCTCTCTAAAGTCCATTTACTTCTTCATGAAAAATATTTCCCCGGGACGCTTGGCGCGGTGGCTCATGCCTGTAATCCCAGAACTTTGAGAGGCTGAGGCAGGCAGATTAGGAGGTCAGGAGATCAAGATCATCCTGCCAACAAGATGAAACCCATCTATACTAAAAATACAAAAATTAGCCAGGTGTGGTGGAGTGTGCCTGCAGTTCCAACTACTCAGTAGGCTGAGGCAGGAGAATTGCTTGAACTCAGGAGCAGAAGCTGCAGTGAGCCGAGATTATGCCACTACACTCCAGCCTGGGCAGCAGTGCAAGACACCGTCCCCCACCCCAAAATAAAAAAAAAAAAAATTCCTGGGACTGAGGGAAGAGAGCTTCAAGCCAAAACAATTTTTTTTTTTGCAATTGAAATAAAGAAAAGTTTATTTCCAGAAGACTGATACTCATGGCCAATCCTACCATAAAGAAAACAGAATACATTTCAGAAAAGTGTGTAACTATTTGAGAAGAAAATAGATTTCAGCTTTTTCTTGCCAATGAATTATTTCAAGCTGTTGAGAAACGTGATTTTTAAGAACAATAACTAAAGTGAAGCATTTCCATTCAATGCTGACTCAGTTTACCTGTCAATTGAATGGGTAGAATGTGCTACAAATTCATTGTCTAGTCATGAAACACACATTTGGGAGCAGAGTTTCAACAGTAGAGATGCCTACTTTAGATTTGAAAAATGGTAGTCCTTTGTTCAGAGGAACTACCAAATAAATGGCCTCTTCACTTCCTGTCTGGTAACCCCCTTTTTTTCTCCAGAGATGGTGGTTTCATTCTATCACTCACACTGGAATACAGTGGCACAATTATAACCCACTGGAGCCTCAGACCCCTGAGGTCCATTGGTCTCTTGCTTCAGCTTCCTTAGTATCTGGGAATATAGGAGCATGCCACCATACCTGGATTTTGTTGCAGTGACAGGGTCTTGTGATGTTGCCCAGGCTGGTCTTGAGCTCCTGACAAAGGGTCCTCCCACCTCAGCCTCCCAAAATGCTGGGATTACAGGTGTGAGCGCAAGAGTCACTGCCTCTAGTCGACCTTTCTAAATATGAATACACATTCCTCTCAGATACAGTGAGATCTTACTGGAAATATGCATGATTTTAACAGATTACAAAATATCCTGGAAAGAGAAAACTGGAGAATCGTAATGTTAGAGAAATAAAAGATGATTTGTTTATGAATAATCTGGACTTCTGTATCGTATCCTTTACACGCTGCTTTGCTGGGTTTTAACACTTTCACCTGGGACTTTAAATCAGCTCTTCCATGGGGACTGCTGATTATGGTAACCACAGGCTCTGCTATGATGCTCCTGACTACAACGTTACAGGGAAGATTTGGCTATTTCATTCATTCCAGCAGGCTGTTGCTACCCAGCAAGTCCCTCGTCTCTGGAGTATTTTACTGTATCTATAATAAGATGAAACAAAGGTATTTTGAAGGTTGTAGTAGACACAGCCTCCATAGGCATAGTACTCTGGAGACTTGGAGGGAAAGAAAGACGAGGCAAAATTGCAGTCTCCGAATCCTCTGTGAACTGCATGCTCATATCAGAGCCCTCCACGAGCTTTCACCTACCGAGAAATTCCAGGGTTTTCCTGCAATTGCACATCCACTGCCTTCTGCTTTAGTGTGTGAGTGCAATTGCATTAAGAGTACTAGAAAAAGTAAACCCTTTTTTTCCAAATCAGAAAACTGTGTGTCCTAGTGTGGCAAGAACCCCAGCTTGAAATAAGAACGTCTCTCATCTCAGTTGTGAATGAGACAGAGCAGGAAAAAAGGGCACAAAGACAAGAAGCCACCAAAATGAGATTTGGAAGACATCTTTCTCAGTCAAGGACCACATTCCTATGCAGTAGTAGGTGAGCTTCTTTACCTCTCAGACCCTTAGTTTTCTCTTCTAACAAATGGAGTGGTTTGGACTTCCCATTTTACTGTAAGGACATGAGGGATCGTCTAATGATATAGCTTCACTATAGATGTCAAGGCATGTAGCCAAGTCTGGAATTTTAGACTCAATTTTTGAGTTGAATGAATGTGCTCTAATATTTTTGCTGTTATGTTCTGAGGCTAAAGTTTCCTATTGTTTTGAGCTTACATAAGCTGACCTCATCTACTATTAGAACATATTAAGTATTTAAGAATATGAGGGTAAGCACCATAGAAAGAATAATTCAATCTAGATGTGAGAGGATCTTTTTAAAGCTTCATTAACTGATAATTATTTGAGTGCAAAACAATGCCCTTACTGTTTGATAAATGAATATTAGCCTCATGTCATGCTGATAAAAGTCATGAGCAGAACTAGACTCCTCTGCATTTGGAGAACTTTGTTATTTTGATGCTAATGGATTATGTTCATTTTATATAGATAGATATTTCGAATCTCGAATGACTCAGCAGGATGAACTTAAATTAGATTTGTCTGTCCATACTTTGCTTTTTTTTTTATCAAAATGAATTATTTTAATGAATGAAAAACATTAAATCTACAGAAACTAGTCTACAGCAAAAGAAAATGTGCATTTGACATCATTTAAGGTGCCTCTTACATCAACTCCTGACTTGGAAAACTGGTATTTAAATGTCAAGAATTAAGCCTTTCTCCTGACTTCCCAGCATCAATGATTTTGAAGAATTTTTTATTTTATTACACATAACATTGCTTTAGCTAAGTAAGTATATCTTCTCAGTTCCGAGTGTCCTATAAAGCCTGCTCTCCAGTCCCTCCTGCTTAGGACTCCCTGTGGTTGGGTGGAACAGGGCTCTTTCCCTTGCTCCAGATGAGCCCAAAGCTGGTTTGGAAGTGGGTGGCACTGCTACAAGGACCACAACTTCACAGTTCTCCAGCATCACATCCCTGTACAAGGCCCTCTGGTCAGGCACCATGATGGCCCATTCCTTCTTAGTGAAGTACACAGCCACGTCATCAAAAGCCACTGATTCCTGGGGCCTGGCTGTTGAGGACACAGTTGTCATTGTCTGACCTTTTATTCCTTTCTTGGGTAAAGGTAAAAGACTCAGGTGTGTGGGTTCCCGGCGGCCTCTGCAGCTTTTCAGCAAGCAGAGATGGTGTTTGCTACTTGTCGAGCCTCACAAACCAAATCATACTTTGCTTTTTAGTGTGTCCTGAATATCTTGATGGTAGTCTTATATTACAATGTGTACTTCACATAATTTATCTATCATGACCTAAAGTTTATGACGATAGAAGAATTTGATCATTAAAATCATGATTATGTTTTTATTCGAAAGTAGAGCATTGTGATTATTTTCCCCCAAAAAAGTATTCTCAGGTTCAGCAATAGGAAATAACTTATTAAAATTGCTTTACAATGTGTGCTCTTTTGGAGTGTGTTAAATATTACGTCTTTGTAGATATTAGCTTCTTATAATGGGGAGTTGTATTAGTCTGAGTAGGCTGCAGATGTAATAAGTAACCTTCAAATTTCAACGGCTTTGCATAATGAGGGTTTGCTTCTTGATCATGTTATACAGTTCCAATGCACACTGGTGGGAGTGAGGAGCAGAGAGAAGCATTGGCCAGGGAATGGGTTCTGCCCATCAGAGTCATGCAGCGACCCAGGTTTCTTCTGTCTTGTGGCTCCATCCCTCTCTAGGTCCCTGGGGTTTTCTCTATTCAGTAGGTGGCTAGAAAAGGGGAGTAAGGATTATAAATGGTATGATTTTCTTACTTGGCTCAGTGTGGAAATAGCGGGCCCAATTTCTACACAGGTTCCATTGGCCGAATCTCTGACATGAGTATATGGTCTGGTGGGGTGACCAGAAAGAAGAGAGGACATCAATGTTGACCAGCACTAACTGTCCCCTCCACAAGATCTAGACACCAACTCGAGGATACTTAAGATAGGTTTGGTGGACACTTAATACACAGAAATCTTATTCTGACCACAAATGATCAAGTTATGATTAAGGTATAATAAGATCAAGGTAAAATAAGACAAGTAAGGTGTACAAATAATCATACTTTTTATAAAAGATGATGGCTATGCATCCAGAAAGCTATAAATACTGATTAAGAGAGGGATAAAGTCTACAATTTGTGAGGACTGTGAAATTTTCTTGATATGATGGTACTGACATTGAGCTACATATTCAACAACCAGAATTCTAGATTGCTTCTGTCATGTGCTTGCTGCAAAATCCTGAACAAAATTTCTGAACCTCAATGTTCTCATATGAATATTCATATATTCTCATATATAAATATCATAAGGCCATCTGAAGGGGGATGTTCAAATTAAGTCATGAATAGGGAAAGCTTTTGTGAATGATGGTTCAAATATCAAATTAAAGCCACTGCTGTTACTGTTATTATTTTTTAAATTCTGTGCCCACAGGCCAGGCTTGTGTTTATAAAACTTTTTTGGCATACATACATATACAAACACAGACACACCTGCACACACCAAACACTCTCACACACAAACTTTCAGATCGTAAGATAAGAATTAAATGCTCTATTTTTTTGGTCTTCAGAATGAAGCCGAGAGTCAATGCCTGCATACTTGGTTTCCCTGGTCCCTAATACATCTTGCATCTCTGCTAGTTTTATAACCTGTGCTTGGAAAGTAGCATCAATTACCTGTGTCTGTTCAGGTAGGCTGGGTGTGGGACTCTGTCCTTTCTGGCTCATAATACTGTTAAGAGCTTCAGGCAAAATTAAGTTTGTTAAAGCATTTTTTAAACTGTGAAATATATATTAAAGGGAAGTTTATTATGTGTTTGCCTAGTTTAAGTTCTAAATGTCTATCTAGTTAGTTTGGGGGTCATCCCTATAAAAAGTTATTTTAAGGCCAGGCACAGTGGCTCATGCCTGTAAATCCAGCATTTTGGGAGGCCGAAGTGGGTGGATCACCTGAGGTTGGGAGTTTGAGACCAGCCTGACCAACATGGAGCCTGACCACCCATCTCTACTAAAAATAAAAAAATAAAATAAATTTTAAAAAATTAGCTTGGCATGGGGGTGCATGCCTGTAATCCCATCCCAGCTACTCAGGAGGCTGAGGCAGGAGAATCACTTGAACCTAGGAGACGAAGGTTGCAGTAAGCTGAGATTGAGTCACTGCACTCCAGCCTGGGCAACAAGAGCGGAACTCTGTCTCAAAAAAAAAAAGTTATTTAAATTACACCTTTATATACCCTTTTAGCCAAAATCTAGTGTGCTTTAAATAACACATTAAAGCAGCAATTATAAAGAAGTCATTTAATATCTGGCATTCATTATTTTTGTTAACCTTGTTTTTACTGATCTCTAAATACCCAGGTTGCCAATTCTCAATAATATTATAATGTTCCATTCTCATAATGTCACATTCTTTTGTTGTGGAGTGCAGAACACAGGGAGTTAGAGAATATATATTTCTCAGGAATCTCAAACCTACCTTGAGTGATCCTCAGAGCCTGGGATCAGTATAACCCTGTGCTTAAAAACACATTCCAGGGGCTAGATGAACAAAGCCATGCCATGCTTTGGAACCTGGCCCCAAATTTCCTATAATCGGCAAGACCAAACCTTTCTCCTCAATTCTTCACTTTCAAGCTGTGGCTACCTGGATGACTGTCTTAGAAAAATGCTTGGCTGATGAGTTGTCAGAGTTAACATCTAGGGAGGTATGATGACGATTCTTTAGCTGACATTATTGACTTAGAGCTGGGAAGACACAAAGGCATAGTTTTCTTTGGATCAGCAAGTTCCACCTCTAAATTCTGACAAACCATGGTGTCTTTAATTGTCTAGGAGACTATAGAGAAATTCGCAAGATAAAATTAGATTATCTCTGCAACAAAAACTCTAAGATGTATGTGACTTTTATTATGGCCAGTTCCCATTTGTCCACACCCCAGGCCATGCTCTGCGTGGTTTCTAAACTGAAAATGGGATTGCTGAATCAAGTTCTAACACGTCGCAGCATCGATCCCTCTTGATCCCTCCCTTGTCATAAACTCAGCTCTGGATCACTCTTTCTGGCAGTTATCCACGTTCCCAAGTGTTTCCACATTCTTCACCCACTTTTAGAAATGGCTTTTGCCTTTTCAGCCACCTGGAGAATGACTACTCATTTTTCACAACTCGCATTAAAAATTCCTATCTCTGGGAGGCCTGCCAGGATGCACCAGGCAGAATGAAGACTGTCTTATGTGTGATCACATAGCACGTTATATGTAGGACTTTTGCAGACTTCAGCCAACATATTGTGGCTGTCTCACTCTTTTGTGTTCCTCAAGCAGATTGTGAGCTCCTTAAACACTGAGATGACATTTTATTTTTTGCATCCCCAAAGCCTAGCACCTGCCCTGGCACTTTGTAAGTATTAAGAAAACACACAGTGAATGAATGAATGAATGAATGACCATCCGTCTTAGAAGCAGCAGGGGAATTACAAGATCAAGTGATAGACATGTGTGCCTACTCTGAAAAGTTAAGAATTACAAATTGAGACCCACACTTCGAATCAAGAGTGGGGAAAAAAAATAGGTAGTAATTGCAGAGGGAGGGCAGCTAAGCATGTGGCTGCTTTGGATATTTACTCATCAGACCAGACTGAAGCAGTCTTAATCAGGGAAAATCAATCTGCCTGTGTTTCAGTGTAAGCATAAACATGCTGACAGTAGATGCCACATAGGTGTTCTGAAAAATCTTACATCAACCTCAAGTTAGTTATAGCTTCATTTACTTTCTGTGTATAAGTTTCAATTGTTTATACTTACCTAGAAGGGCGAATTTATCTTCTGCCGGCAGTGTTCTATATCATGTCACACCTGAGGTCAAATGTCTTTTAATGCACAAAATACAGTCCAAACTCTGCGTGAGATGCCAGCTCTTCTCCAACTCGATACAGTTGGTGTTCACTATTCTTTATATTTACCAGCTATCTCAGCAAAAATTGTCTACTGTCTTCCTCCATATCCTGTCGCCACCCTTCACGAGTCCTTTTATTTCCTCCCATACCAGCATCATCCTGAAACTTTTGTGGTACCACACATGCCAAAGATGTCTTCATCCTCTGAGTCGTCCTTTCCATTCAAATCATCACATATTTGTGCTGTCTTCTGCTTCGTAAGAGAAATTGTTTAACAGAATTCAACTTTAAATTTTCCGTAAGGTTTTGTGCGTTGTTTCCCCAGACTTATTTTACAGTTACTGATGGAAGGAACTTCGCTTCTTTGTGTTCAATTGTAGCAGCCAACACAAGGTCTTGATGATCTTGAGTGTGTAATGAATGCTTGTTGATATTTGAAAATGATACCTGGGTTTATTGGTTTATTTATTTGAAATGAAGTCTCGTTCTGTCACCCAGGCTGGAGTGCAGTGGTGCAGTCTCTGCCCACTGCAGCCTCTGCCACATGGGTTCAAGCAATTCTCCTGCCTCAGCCTCCCGAGTAGCTGGGACTACAGGCATGTGCCGCCATGCCTGGCTAATTTTTGTATTTTTAGTAGAGACAGGATTTCAACATGTTATCCAGGATGGTCTCGATCTCCTAACCTCATGATCCGCCCACCTCAGCCTCCCAAAGTGTCGGGATTACAGGCGTGAGCCACCACGTCCAGCCTGATGCCTGGGTTTACTAATAACAGAAAATTAATCTTTGGAATAGAAGTGTCTACACAGAGAGATATGGTGATTCCTCTGGTGTCAGAGGCATGGGATTTAATTTGTAGCTCTGTTTTCCCACTGGCAATAGATCACCAAGGTGATCAGTATCAACTCTTTATGTTTTCATTGTCTCGTTGGTAAAACGGGATGATAGTGATAGTTGTGGAAAGAAAAACATGAAAATAAAATCCACGTAAAGGTTATGCTTCATGGCCAGTATTCATTAAATATAAGCTAGTATTTTAGTGATTTTATCTTTTGTAAGTCCTGGGGCCCAACTTGCTGTGGTCACATCCCAACTCTTTCACTTATGTATGATCTCTTACCTTGGGCACATCACTTAACTCCCAAGCCTCTGTTTCTCTCTCTGTAAAATAATCAGGGCAGTAATACTGTCCTCCCAGTGTCATTTTGAGAAATAAATGAGACTACGCATGTAGCACACTCAGCAGTGTGCATAGACCATAGTAAGCACTCAATAAATAGTAGCTGTGCTCATTGAAATTCCACTTGCCCATGCTGACATTTCCATGAAGAAAATGTTACCCTTTATCACAATAAATAAATTATTTTTCTGAAAGTTAAATCCCAAAATAGGTCATATTCCTCTTTGGGCCTTCCTCTTGCCATGGTGTTTGTCGTTCCATGCATTTGTTTGACGCAATCGTTCTTTTGCAGGAATGAGCTTTCTGTGAAAGGGTAGTCTTGTCTAAGTGATTTATATGTATCTGATGTAAGCATCACAGCGCTTGACAGATAGGGCCATCTATCACCACACCATGGAAAGTATGCAGACATATGGCAGGATACCACTGAGCCATGTTCCTTAGGTGTGGTCAGTCCTGATGTCTCCTTCAGTGCCCGTGCCACCTACCCACTGAAGAGCTCACACACACTCCTGCTCACGTGAAACAAGTACATCTATTGGCTGGAGTGTTTACATGGAATCTTATTTCCTCCCCCTAGAGAATAGCCTATGGCTGTTTTAAAGAAGGGATCAACATACGATAGATTTCCTGGTAGGAGGATTAACAAATATGTTTCTTTTGAATTCCCTCTCGGGGGAAAACTGTACAATCACGTTGTTACCTCTATTCTAACCTAGTCAAGCTTCATTGGTTTGCAGGTCAATCTCAAAATATTGGATTTTGTTTGAATCTCAGATACAGCATAGCCAACTCCTGCATAAATGCTAGCTAGGTACGGTGTATGTGTGTGTGAAATTCCTCATAAGAAGACAAAAGAAAAAGTTGTTTTTGCCAAATTGAGTGTATACGCTTTCTGGGATAGTGATATTCCTCTTACAATATTTAATATATTGTTTAAAGTCACAAAATTTATCTAACAGATTTGCATGGCACATCACATATCATGTGAGTTGTTTGGGACACAGCATATTTATGTTTCTATATGACACTCTCATTGGGAATTTTATGTCAAGACATAAAAATCCATTGACAGAACATTAGGTCAGTTTTTTGTTTTTACTTTGGTTTAATTTATGCTTTCAAAAGTTGATCTTTAATCTCTCTTCGTTTTCAGTTAAACCCACTTCAGTAAGACTTTTGTTTCCAAATGCTTCACCAGAGCAGTGTTTGTCAGGGTCCACTGTGAACCTCATGGCTAAATCCAGTGGCCTGTGCTCAGTCCCCATCTTACTTGATCTACCCCAGGATTTGACACAGTTAATCACTCCTCCTAAAACTCTTTTCTCTTTGACTTCTT